ATTGCTGACCCCAAGAAGTTTTTGGTTTATCTTTGATCATAGTTAAAACAAGTGCAATGATTGGATAATTGTTGTTACAGCTAGATACAGTAGGACTTTGTAAGGAGAGTTTTGAAAACTTTGGTTGAAGTCTTTGTTTCCCACCGCTATATTGAAGTTTAAAGCATCTTACAGCTAGTAGACAGCCTTCTTTTGCTGTAACGTACTCATTATTAGTTCTCTTGAGTGAGTCAGAAACATTGTCTTTTGCCATAATTAACAGCTTGGAATTTTTTGATTGCTTTTGAGTGCAGTCATTGAAAATTAAGAAAATTATAACTTTTGGATATGCTTACTACCTTACAAGGAACAATTTCAGCTCTGTTTGTGAAATTGATAAATCTATTCTATCTTTGATTTGAACATATCCTCTTTTCTGGGATATATCAAGTCCCAGGTGTGAAACTGTCCATTGGTAGTGCTGATTCTAAAATGAGCCAGCATGTGCATTGGTTGGAAGTAGCATTTGTTAAGGAAATATGCTTGAAATAGAATGAAAGATCGGTTTTTCAAAATGCTTCCTTTTGCCCCTCTGTCCATCAATATGGAACCATAGACTGATATCAGGGCCAGTTTTCCCACCATGATGGATGCCTGTGGGCTGGTCCTGAAGCTGTTTTCTTTGTGGTTTGCCTCCTGTCCACTGGGAAGCCTATGTTCCTTTCATTTTCATTCTTCTCCAACTCCAGTGCTTTTGAACACAGAACCCCCATCCTCCCACCACCCAAACCCCACATTCCAACCCCATGATCTCATGGTACCAGGCGTATCTCCCCTGCCATGCTTCCAGGCCGCCTGCTGGCTCTTGCAGGGGAACAGACAGAACATAAACTCACCGCAAAAGAGCAGGACACTCACTGTATATTTTTAAGACTAGGAATCCAGGTTTCATTTAGAGACTGTATTTTTTAATAGCTCCTTGAAATTGAACAAAACATTTCTTTTTGCTCTTACTTCTTGATAATATCATTCCCTCTGTACTACTGACGTATAGAATCTCAGAAGCTAGGGACTGGAAAGATGTATTAGATCATGTCTAGCCCATTCCCACTGGTCACAGTTCTTTTTTTCCCACAGCCTCTCCACTAGTGCTTTTCTCTTCTAGTTTTCTCAAGAATTTGCTTTCTCCATTTCTCCTGGGGAATAATTTCTTTTTCACCATGGAGGAATTTATGTGGAAATGTTCATATTCTTTTTTTTTCAGCTTAATATTTCTGGTCTTCATAACCTTTTACATTACCATAAACAGCCCCTCATCGTCCTAGGTCAAATATTTCTGGATGGTATTTTTCCCTTCCATTTATTAAGTTCAGAGTTTGTTTTTCTGCTTTGCTTTCTCTCTTCATCAATCAGTCCTAAAGCCCATTAATCATTTCTTACTGCTCTGAAAACTCTTTTGCTTATTCCCTTATCAGCAACACAGGGCTGGTTAAGGTCTCTGTATGTTGGAGGAAGCCTCACTAATATGTACTCATTCTAAACTCTCTTTCTCTCTTCCTATCTCCCCTTCTTTCTCATCTTTCTCTCTCTTCCCCTCAAACTTCACTGGAAACTATTTTTAAGATATTGTTTCTAAATTATGATTTGTGGAGTTAGACATCTGAAGTCCAAGTGTATATGTGCATGTGTATGGTTTTGGGTAGTTATGTTGTATTTGTTCTCCATTATTTGAATGATATTTTTCATATCCCCAGGGCTACAAATCTCTTGGATCTCCTCCTGAGTGCTTGGATCAAGTTCAATTCTGGACCATGCAACTGTGATATAGCATTTCTATTTTAGAGCTCTCATCTTAGGAGTAGGCAGGAAAATAAATTATTTATAGGATTTGTAGGAGTTTGGAAGGGGAATTTTTAAGTAGCCTTGTTACTCATTTATTTAAAGTAGATTAGCTCTCAGGAGCTAGTGTTATGTAGAAAGATAAGACCTTAATATGCTATTTGGTTTCCCAGATTGGGGTGCCCAATGTCAAAAAGATGTAGGTTCTACCTGAAGCAATCATAATATTCAATGTAATCCTAGTTGAAAACTTCAACAGGTTTTTTTTAAAACTCTTGGTACTGGACAAAATGATTCTAAAATGCATTGAGAAGTGTACAGTGTCAGGGTGTATAAGATACTCTAGCTAAAAAAGAAGATAGAACAAGAGAACGATTTGATCTACTGGGTTCTGTGACTCATTTAAAAAGCAATATGATGCTGACACAGATAAGGACATGTAGATGAATGAGGCAGAACTGAAAGACCAGATTCTTCACAAAGAAATCTTTGTATGACAGAGATGGTGTTCCAGAGTAATAGGAAGAAACAGTCTTTTCCATAAATTGTACTGGAACAATCAGATGTGCATATAGGGAGAAATTGAATGCTTACCTCACACCATATACAAAAAAATCATCCAAATGTACAGGCCTAAATGTAAAAGATAAAAGTTTTACGAATGCACGCACACACACATATATAAACATATCCTCATGATCTTGGGGTATTGAAAGATTCCTTCTAACATAACAATGTGTAGTCAGAAGTTTTATGTTTTACTGGTAAAGTTAAGATCCTCTCTTCAAGCTTGCCTAGCAAGCACAAGGCCCTGCATTCAAACCCCAGTACTGCCAAAATAGCCACACAGGGTGAGAATGTATTTGTATTGCATATGATTAACAAAGTAATAGTATCTACAATGTTTAAAATGCTTAATTCAATAAAAGATAACCAAATGTGAGAAAAACAATTTGAATAAGCTCTTCACAAAAGAAGTGAAAACAGCCAGTCATAAAAGTGTCTCAACTTTTTAAACAGTCAAAGTGAAGAAATTAAAACACAGTGAGATGCTACCTCATATCCACTGCATTAGCTAAAAATAAAAGGACTGACAATACCAAGTATTGATGGGAGTGTAGAGCAACAGGGACTGTGCTAGAAAGGACATACTGTTATATACCTGAGAATAGCTTACCACACTGTAGTATGCATGAAGATACATGTATATACCCATGACTCAGAAATACTACTCACGTATGTACATCAGAGAAATTTGGTACATAATATACAAAGATACCTCAGTAAGATTGATCTTTTCCCCAGTAACTGCTTTTTTTCAAATTTTTAAACCTACAGAACACTTTTCAAATTTGTATACCTAGTATACCAAATGTCATAAACACTTAATAGATGATGGCAAAGCAAAACATGGAACCTAATGCAGACAGCACATATGGCCTTCGAAGTCAGTGACTTGTCTTGAAATCCTGACTCCATCATTTATAAGCTACATGACCTAGGCAATCTGTTAAGATCTATGAGCTTCAGTTTTCTTATCTGTAAATTACAGGTAATAATATGCCTACTATATTGGGTACTATAAGGATTAAATACACTAGTGTATATAAGACACTGAGCATAATCGTATATTCTCCCTCATATGCGGACATTAGATCAAGGGCAAACACAACAAAGGGATTGGACTTTGAGCACATGATAAAGCGAGAGCACACATGGGAGGTATGAGGATAGGTAAGACACCTAAAAAACTAGATAGCATTTGTTGCCCTCAATGCAGAGAAACTAAAGCAGATACCTAAAAGCAACTGAGGCCAATAGGAGAAGGGGACCAGGAACTAGAGAAAAGGTTAGATCGAGAAGAATTAACCTAGAAGGTAACACACATGCACAGGAAATCAATGCGAGTCAACTCCCTGTGTAGCTATCCTTATCTCAACTAGCAAAAACCCTTGTTCCTTCCTATTATTGCTTATATTCTCTCTTCAACAAAATTAGAGATAAGGGCAAAATAGTTTCTGCCTGTAGTGAGGGGTAAGGGGGGGTAAGGGAGGGAGCAGGATGAGGGGGAGGTAAGGGATGGGATGGGGGAAGAGGGGAGAAATGACCCAAACATTGTATGCACATATGAATAAAATAAAAATTAAAAAAAAAAGACACTGAGCATAAATGTTAGTAATAGTACTTGTCTGGTAAATTATGGGTACTATTGTTAATATTTTATTGTGATGGTGCTTAAAATGATAATGATGTATTTTATTTTTCAGACTTTCAAGTATAGCACAATTACTGATGTATACTAATTTTTGTTTCTTCACTATAGAATATTAAATTACTCAGAGAAAGCAGCATTTTTATCCCATATTTAATTTTTTTCTTCTCATTTTTGTGGTATAAAAACACTAGAAAATATACAAAAGGAAAACATGACCATGACAAAAAAGTTTTCATAATTTAGAAAATTATGCAGAACTAAAAACTCCTTTTGATAAAATGAAAAACTAAATGTGATTTTACCAAAATAGGAAGGAAACTGAAGCACAAAAATGTTAACTAAGGTTATCAAAAAATAATATTAGGAATGGAATGTATATTCCTACATATTAAATTATGATATCAGCAATTTTTTAAAAAGTCAGTAAATAGCAGTAGCCTTTAGCCCTAATGCAATGGTCTTCATTTCCTTCACTACAAAATAACCAAAAACACATAAAATACCTTGAGACTCCTTTACTCTCTAATGAGGTTTGAGACTGATGCCTTTCTCCGTCTGCCCAAACATCTCACCTCTTTTCCTGTGGAAGCTGCTACCTGTACCCCAGAAGTTGCCTTTCCTAACTGGTCATGACTATGTTGTCACATTGTGACTTTACTTATTTTCATAAGCATATCCTTTACCTCCAATTAGAACCACATTTTCTCAGGTATACCGACCTCTTAGGTATACTTGTGTTTGTAAACTTTTGACTCAAAAACAAACCATTTTAATGTCATTTTCTGTCTCTAATAGCATCTAGAATAGTGATTTACACAGAATGAATACAAAATAAATGGGTGACAATGGTGATTGTTAGATTTTAGTTTGCAAAAATAGGAGTAGCTATGTATTATAGCTATGATAACATGAGCCATGGGATTTGTGGACTCTCAATAGCAAATATGTTTATTTTCTTCTGTTCCAGAAAGACAGCATGAAGCGAATATTTTCTGGCATTCAGCCTACAGGAATCCCTCACCTGGGAAATTATCTTGGGGCTATTGAAAGCTGGGTGAGGTTACAGGATGAATGTGACACTGTGCTGTATAGCATTGTTGACCTCCACTCTATCACCATCCCCCAAGACCCCACCGTCCTTCGGCAGAGTATCCTGGACATGACTGCTGCTCTCCTCGCCTGTGGCATAAACCCAAGGAAGAGCATCCTTTTCCAACAATCTCAGGTCAGCCTCTCATTTAGAACCAAGAAAACTTTTATCTTCACACTATCTAAGGAAAATTCTGAGTGAGTCATCTAGCTCTCGTTCATGATTTTTTTTTTTAATTGTTCAGGTGTAACTTCATCAGTTTAATGTTTTACCTATATTTACATCATTAAAGATCCTTATATTTCAATTTTAAAACATTTCTTCCTCTAAGTAAATTTATAGTCCTTCATTTACCAAAAAAGTTGCATCTCATCAATACTTCTAACCCGCAAATTGTTTTTCCTTGACTGAGTTACATTCAAGCCAATGACCTCATACTATTGACTAATCTCCATATGATCAAAGATAGAGTTTCATTACCAATGGTTTTACATAATTCCATTGTTGCTTTTTTTGGATAGACCATTTGGAAGGCCTACTGGATAATTCCCATTGTTCATTCTTTGTATAATAGCTTTTGAGCAGATTCTATAGAACAAGCTTGACAATTAGAAGACAAAGTCCCAGTGTCTTATATTCAAGCCAAGAAAGGATTCAGAGCAAAGCTAAAGTATTTGACTCATATCTTTACTGTGGATGTGTCAGTTTATTCCTGATAGGCAGATAGCCTGGCCCAGAGACAGTATAATTAGGAGATACCCTAGCAAAGAAGGTAAAAATCCTAACAGATCATGACCTTGTTACATACCTGCTTTAACCTGTAGCAAAGTCCTAGCCAAGGGGTGACTTTCCTTAATCATTAAGTTTTTATCATTATTTTAATACACATAGAACTCAATGTAGTGATTCACACAGATCAACCAGTTAAAAAACCTATCATAGGATTGGGATAAAACTCAATGGTAGAGCATTTGCCTAGTATGTGCAAGGCCCTGGGTTTGATCCTCAGCACCACAAAGAAACATACACACATGTGAATGTATGCACACACAGAAAAAGTATCTTCAGAAAAATGAATGAAGTAATCAATTTAAGTTTGCTGTCATGTAGATATTTTGATAAAATAATAGAATGTAATTATTAAAAGGACCAAAAAGGCACTACCCAAACTTCTTTCCTTTTAGTTGGTCAGAAGCCTTTATTCACATGACTTTTGAAATTCAATGCTGGACCAATCTATTTTTTTCTTTTTTGGTGGGACTGGGGTTTGAACTCAGACCTTCATGCTTGCAAAGCAGGCTTTCCACTGCTTGAGCCACACCTCGGTCCTGAACCAATCTAATTGCTTATATTGAACAAACATCTGCCTTTCTATAATTTCCTTCCATTCATTAAACTTCAGCACTCTAAAAATGGACAATAAGTCATCTCTGTCTTCATACACCTGCTCCTCACATACTTTGAACACGTTTACTTTGTACCATCCTTAGCTTGTAGGTCTTACCTTCCTTAAGCTAGTCAAATCCAGTCATCTTACTTACTTGGTCATTTCACTTCAGGAGCACTCTCACCTTCTCTTTGAAAGGCATGTGCCTCTCATATTTCATGAAACAAGGTTATCCAAATCCTTTGCATCCATTTTTGACATTGCAGAATTGGTCATTATCTGAGCCACTTTTTGAGCCACCTAATCCATCAACTTCAGTCATTCTAAGCTATTTTGGATACAAGCTGTGTTGTGATTCTTACCTGATACTATTTCCAAAAATTTCATTCCCAGTCACAAGTACCAATTTCTATATTTCTTACAGGTGAATATGTAATCTTTAAAATTAGATGCTTACTTAAAGCCACATCCAATGATTGTACTTTGAACTTTTTCTTACAGGGATAATTGCCATAATGTCATATTATAAATGCCTTCTCTTTTATAAAGGAACTACCTCCATTAGCATCTAAAATGGGTAGTAACTGAGATACCTTCTTCTGCCTGGTACTTTGTTATTTGAGATAACAATTATGTAACCCAGAATATGAGAGCCTTTTCTGTGGACACTCTCATAAATGAGGATTAAGGAACTTCACCTTCCAACATAGCTGTGGGTGTAGGTCAGGGAGGAGGTAAACAATGTTGACTGGTGTGTGCTGGCTTCCTGAGAAGGCCAGTGAAGTTCTAAAGCTGTCCCATACTTCTGTTCCTGCTGTCCTTGACTTTAGCTCTGTTGTGGGGAATTTTGACACTTTGCAATAAAATCTGAGGGAAGTACTCATTTTTCCTGCCTTCTACAATTTGTCCCCCAAAGACAGTGTGAAAGGCTTCCTTGGATGTCTTTCTGGCCACAGGACACAGTTGGTCTTGCCCATTTCCTTCTGTTTTGACTCAGGCAACCAACCTTATTAAAAGTCTTGGACTATACATTTTATCAGCCTCTCTTTTTTAACACTTAATAAAGAAAATTTTAAATATTTACACGAATAGGAAAATGGTAAACTTCATCCCCATCACTTACTAACATTTCATAATTTATCTCATCGATGTTATTTTTGTTGAAGTATTTTATTTTATTTATTTATTTTTTTTGGTGGGACTGGGGTTTGAACTAAGGGCTTCATGCTTGCAAAGCAAGTGCTCTACTGCCTTAGTCACACCTCCAGTCCGTTTTTGCTCTGGTTGTTTTGTTGATGGGGTCTCATGAACTAATTGCCCAGACTGGCCTTGAACCACAATCCTCCCAATCTCATCTTCCCAAGTAGCTAGGATTCCAGGCATGAGCCACCTGCACCCAACTGGTTGAAATATTGTAAAGTAGATATCACATATCATAGTACTTTACTCCCCAGATATTTCAGTATGCCTTCATAAATGAAGGAAATTTTTATATGTAACTACTATGTTGTCATCACACTTTGCAAAGGTAATGATAATACTATATTATCATCTAATGCTCAAACTAGTATGATTCTCTTAAAATGACTTTATAGTTAGCTTTTTTGAGTGAAGATCTACCAAGGTCCATGCACTGCATTTTATTAAAGATCTGAAGTGTTATGTGTGTGTGCCTTTCAATTTGTTGTTTCATTTAATCTGTGAATTTTATCTCCAGGTTTTTTTTTTAATGTGCCTTTCATACATTGATCAGGTTTTCTTTTTAGTTGCTATTAAGTTAACTTCTTTGAACTTAAAAATGAACCTTCATTTTCTGTTGCTTTCTCTTCACACTATTCTGTGTGAGGCATTTGGCGACTACAGATGACTGTCCACACAGATGCTCATCACCAGTTCTCATCAGTGTGAATAAAAACCGTGCTGCCTGATGCCCAAGGAGCCGAGAGAAGAATGTCAGTCATCAGCTGTCTTAGGAAAGTCAAGGTCTTCACGTTGTTCATGGATGGTGATGCAAGGACCCTCCCTCCTCACGCTTATCTTAAAACTGTGAAGGCATTTATTGGCCTTGGCTTCTTAAACCATCTCAAGTAGAAATAAAATAGAATAAGATAGTCTACCAAAACAGTTGCTTTTAAACACATGACCCCATATGTGCTGTGCTATAGCATATGAACAACTCATCACAACAATGATTTATGTTTGTGATACAAAAATCAATCATTAACAACTGTCTTTTTTATTTTTAATTGACAAAATATTGTATGTATTTATATATACAACATGATGTTGTGATATATGTATATATTATGGAATGGCCAAATCAAGCCAATTAACATATGTATTACCTCACATACTTTTTTGTCATGAGAACACTTAAAATCTACTCTTTTGACAATTTTCAAGGATACAATACATCATTATTAACTGGAGCTGCCAGGTTGTACAGTGGGTCTCTTGAACTTATTCCTCCTGTCTTACCAGTGTAATTTTGTATCCTGGATCCTTTAACCATCATCTCCCCCTTTCCCCTACCACCCTCCTCTGACAGCCCCATTCTACTCTCTGCTTCTGGATTTAACATTTTTCAGTTCCACATATGATCTATGTGGCATTTGTCTTTCTGTGCCTGGCTTATTTCTCTTAACAGAGGGTCCTCTACATTCATCCATGTTGTTGCAAATGACAGGATTCCTTTCTTTTTTAAGGCTGGATTGTGTTCTGTTGTGTGTATGTGCCTCACACTTAGGCTGTTTCCATACTTGGGCAATTGTGAATAACGCTATAATAAACATGGTAGTCTCGATATCTCTTTGGCATACTGATCTCATGTCCTTTGTATGTGTACCCTCTAGTAGGGTCATATAGCAGTTCTATTTTTAATTTTTTGAGGAACCTCCATACTATTTTCCATAATAGCTGTACTAATTTACATTCCCACTCACATATACAAGAGTTCTATTTTCCATTATTTTGCCAACACTTGTTAGTTTTTGACTTTATAATAGTAGTCTTTCAAAAATGTGTGAGGTAATCAGTTAGTGAGGTCTCCAGTTGATGAGAATGGAAAAGAAAATAACCAGCAGCATTTTTAATAAGCTACCTGAAATCATATGGCTGTAGGTAGCCAAGCCAGGACTCTTCCCATCCCCTCCCCATGAACACGTTTGGAAATGTAGTCATGGGGTGGGAGCCTTATTCTTTCTTCACCTGACAACCCTTCCCCTGCTCTTGCTTCAGGAGCTGCTGGCAGAGGGACAGTGGGAGCTGGAGCTGATGTCAAGGCCTCATTCTCTCTTGCGTGGACAATTGAATTACCTTTTATTCTGCTCTTACCTCAGAGTGGCAGGTCATTCCTCCTAAGGCAACCACAGTCATTGTTCTACTAAATCTGCACTAGTACCTCACTTCTGCCCTCAGGTAACAAAATCCACTCTCAGTCTAGCTGGAAAGACCTTTGAGATTAAGGCTCACAGTGCATCTGCCCTGAGCTGTTCCCATTCTGCTGTGAAATTATGTAGGCCTTTTATCACCAGTTCATTTTGTGTTCACAGGATTCTGATTCACTATTACCAGTTACTCTTTATAGCAGATACTAGAGAAATTTTTCTACTTTTATTTTGAGAAAGTTTGATAAATCAATTATCAACTTAGAAGACAGATAACTTGCAGATCACTGATCTACATTCATTACATTTGTTAAAAGTTTTTTGTTAGCTGTTTTATATTGGGAGCTTTATAGAACACTTAA